GACTTTGTCTCCACCAAAACAAAAAAAAAAATCAAAGAAATTAGCTAGGTATGGTGGCATGTACCTGCTCAGAAGGCTGAGGTAAAAGGATCGCCTGAGCCCAGGAGGCTGAGGCTGTGGTGAACTATGAACATGTCACTGCTCTCCAGCCTGGGTGACAGAGTGAGATTCAGACTCATAAATAAATAAACAAATAAGTTACTACTATATTTAAAGGTTCCAGAGATCACAAACTGATATCTTTGATGGTCATTCTTCAGTCTACAACAAACTATAAGAAACGGTCACAGATTTAGTGGCTTCAAACGACACACATTTATTCTCTTACAGTTTTGGAGGTCAGAAGTCCAAACTGTGTCTCAAGGGGCTAAAATAAAGGTGTCATTTTAGCAGGACTGGATCCTTCTGGAAGTCCTGGGGAGAATCAATTCCTTTCCTCCAGCAGCCTCTAGAAGATGCCAGCATTCCCTGGCTCCTGGCTGCAACACCCCCATCACCGCCTCTGGTCACACTATACCCCTTTCTCATTGATCCTCTTTCCTCTTCTTATTTTTTGACACAGGCTCTCCCTCTGTCACCCTGGTTGGAGTGCAGTGACATAATCATAGCTCACTGAAGCCTCAATTCTCCTACCTCAGTCTCCCAAAGTGCTGGGATCACAGGTATAAGCCACCATGTCTGGCCCACTCCTTATAAGAACCCTTCTGATTACGTACAGTGCCCACCTGGATAATCCAAGTTAATCTCCCCATCTCAAGGTTTAATTTAACCAAATCTGCAAAATCCCTGTGGCCATATAAGGCAGCATAGCTACATGTTCTAGGGGTGGGATGTGGGCCTTGTTGAGGACTATTATTCAGCCGATCACACACTCTTCTCTATGGCAGATTATTCTCTTGCCCTCAGGAGTAACCACCACCTCCAATCCTGTGTAAACCATACCACTGTCTTTCTTTATATGTGTGAATCCACATACGTATGTATCCCTGAACAATAAGTTGTTGAGTTTTGCCTATTTTGAGTTTCGTGTAAATTGTATCACACCATGTGTATGCTTCTGCAATGTGTTCTTTTTGCTTGACCTTCTTTCGAGTTGCATTCACCGACACACAAGCAGTTGCTGCTGTTCATTCTCACTCCTCTGTGGTGCTGCAGTAGTGATGGGTGCCACCATATATCCCCTTGCTGTGCAGATGGCTGCTTGGGTGTCCCCAGACAGAGATTCTCTATAAGCTTCAACACAGGTGCCTGAACTCCCTGGCCTTGCACAGTATTTTTCATTCTTTTTTTTTTAACCCTTTTTAAAATAATCTCATGGGGGTACTCATGACCCATGAATGCCATGTCTTGGTTTGGAAATACTCTGTTCTGGAAGAATTTGGTGAAGCATTTCTTTTGTTGTTGCTGCTGTTTTCTTTTCTTTTCTTTCTTTCTTTCTTTCTTTCTTTTTTTTTTTTGAGGTGAAGCATTTCTTTTGTGGTTTATATTGTTAAAACATTAGATGATATTTTTTGTCTTACAAATAGAAAGTTGTGTCTTCTTTTTTTCTTAGAGATGGGGTCTTGCTCTGTCACCCAGGCTGGAATGCAGTGACAGGATCATGGCTCACTGAAGCCTCAAACTCCTGGGCTCAAGTGATCCTCAGTCTCAGCATCCCAAGTAGCTAGAACTAGACACCACCACACCCAGCTATTTTTAAAATTTTTGTAGAGACGGGATTTCACTATGTTGTCCAGGCTGGTCTCAAACTTCTGGGCTCAAGCGATCCTCCTGCTTCTCAGCCTCCCAAAATGCTAGAATTACAGGCATGAACCACCATGTCTGGCTGGTGTAAATCTGTGATTTAATATAAAAGTATATAATTTATATTCCCTTCACTCTAGAGGTGAGACTCTGCTGTGTCCTTAGAATCTTAGAATTTTCATAGAAAAGGGCGGGTGGGAGAGTTCTGTCACTCATTTTGAGTCACTTTTCCTGTTTTCCACATGAAGCCTTGTAAGCTATCAATGGGGTGTTTTGGTTTCCTAAGGCTGCTTAACAGAGCGCCCCAGGCCTGCGGCTAAACAACAGACATTTACTCTTTCACAGTCCTGGAAGCTCCAGGGATAATCTATTTCATGCTTCCTCTGGCTCCTGGTGGTTGCCAGAAATTCTTTGACTTATGACAAAATCACTCCAATCTCTGCCTGTCTTCATGTGGCCTTCCCCTAGGTGTCTTCTTCCCTTTTCTTCTCTTCTAAGGACATCTGTCATTGGATTTAGGGCCCACTCTAAATCCAAGCTGATCTCAAGATCCTTTATTACATCTGCAAAAACTCTTTTTCTCAAAAAGGTCATATTCTGAGGCTGCAGTGAGCCGTGATCCTGCCACTGCTCTCCAGCCTGGGTGACAGAGTGAGACCCTAACTCAAAAAAAAAATTCAGTTAGGTCATATTTATAGATTCTGGGTGAATATATCTTTCAGGAGCCACCATTCAACCCCCTACAACAGGCAACATAGCCTTGAGGTTCCTGGTTAGGACACAACTGAAGTGGCATCACAGCCACAGGAAGTCTTGGAATGGAATAGGAATTGAAGGAAGCCCAGAAAGCGGTACTCAGAAATCAAGGGAGATGCCCCTTACCGCATCTCTCCACTTTCTTTTTGTGACATGGTGGTCATGACAGGTGTCCATATGCGTACATGGCAGTGGAGATAAGCAGGGGGTTGGTGAGCACTCAATGCCCTCCAGGGATCAGGGTGCTGCACATGTGGACTGCAGTTAAGCATTCTGGGCCTTGAACCAGCTCTGTGATTGGAACTGGGCCCCTATCCTGTAACCACACCCAGGCTGCTTGACTCTTGTAACCTTTAGGGAGGAGTTGCTGTTTCCCCCACAAGACACAGCCACCTCTTATGTGGGAATTGAGTTATTCAACGCTGCAGAGTTGGCCTGGCTCTCTGCTAAAGGCTAGATATAGAGTGAGGCCAGTGCTCTGTGTTTAGAGTTCACCTGATTCATGTGACAGAATGGCCTGCACCCACAGACCAACACAGGCACACAGTGAGGATGGGATAAGGAAAATGACATGCCAGGGTGAAAGGCAGGTGGAGGAGCCCTGCAAGGACCTCCTAGGAGATCAGGTGTACTGCAGTGGGAAAAGGAGAGGGGACAGGAAAGTAGAGAGGACTCCCTGGGTGGGAGACGTAACAGTCAGTACTGAGGTCTCCAAGGCCATTCACTGTTTGAACAGAGCCCTGGGCCAACTGTAACGAGGATGCCCTAGCAGCGTGTCCCCAAGAGCTGGGGAGAACCATGGGCACCATGATCTGTGGTAGCCCAGACTCCTGTTGGAGTGATGCTGTGTGAGAACTATCCCTTAGGCATGTCCTGTGAGGTCTGTGTCCTATACAGGCTGTGTCTTCTGTGGGGAATCTGTGTCCTGAGGGCTTGTGTCATCTGAGGGGTTGTGTCCTGGGGAGCTGTGTGACCTGGAGGAAGGTGTCCTGTGCAGGTGTGTGTGTCTTGGGGGGACTATGCATCCGGTGGGGCTGTGTACCCAGGGGGACCTATATGTACTGGAAGGGGCCATGTGGGCTGTTGTTCAGGAAAAACTCTCAAACTGTGTTTTTCTTCGGTCCTCATACCACTACAACAATCATCAACCCAGAAGACGTCTGTGACCAAATGTGTGGTAGTTTCTCCTACCACCATACAATTGATTCTGCAGCTACACCAGCTGGGTGTACTCCAATTCAAGTTACAGATGACTATACACACCACCTCCTAGGCCAGGTGTGGTGACTCATACCTATAATCCCAGCACTTTGGGAGGCTGAGGCAAGGGGACTGCCTGAGCCCAGGGTTTCAAGATTAGCCTGGGCAACTTGGTGAGGCCTTGTCTCTATAATAAATAAAAGAATTAGCCAGGCATGGTGGCACATGCCTGTAGTTCCAGTTACTTGGAAGGCTGAGGAGGAAGGATCGCATGAGCCCAGCAGGTCAAGGCTGCGGTGGCTGGGAGCGTGCCATTCCACTTCTGTCTGGGCAACAGAGTGAGACTCCAACTCAAAAAAAAAAAAAAAGAAAAAGAAAATTCCAATAGTATCTACCTGGAAATAGCGTCAGATCCCATAGGGTAAGGGCTCAGTCTCCAAGACTGTCCCCCCTCCTCCACCCTAGACACCAGGGGCAAGTCGGGGCCTTCAGAACTTCTGACAGAGGGGCTTCAAGTTGAGGGTCCCACGAACCCCTCCTTAGGTTCAATTAACTTGCTAGAGCGGCTTACAAAATTCAGAGGAACACTTTTACTGGTTTATTAAAAGCGTATTAGAAAGGATACAGATGAAGAGATGGGGAGGGCAAAATGTGGGGGCGGGGTAGGAGCTTCAATGCCCCCCTGGGCACCACTCTCCAGAACCCTCCAAGTGTTCAGAGATTCAGAAGCTCCCAAGCCCAGTTTTCTTGGGTTTTTATGGAAACTTATTGGCCTAAGCATTCCTTCCCCCAGGATAGGTGGTAAGATCTATCAGGATGAGGGTTTTAGGGCCCACAACCAGAAAGATTAGAATCCGGTCTTGGAGCAAGTGAAAGGAGGGCCGGAAAGGTCGAAGATTCTGTTTCCTGGGGCCCCGAGGCCAAACACTCAGTATTGTAACGAAGACTAACAAGGGCTGTGGAATTTATAACCAGAAACCTAGTCCGGAAAACTACAATTCATAACACGGCAGCTGCGTGTGCTGCGGGGGCGGGGAGGGGGCGCTGAGTGTCCCAGGTGTGTGTGTGTGTTCTGAGGGGATGTGTGTTCTGGGGCGGGTTGTGTCCTAGAGTGGGTGCTCCCGCGGTATCGCGGTTCTAGGTTTGCCTCACTTGAGGGACAACAGCTGGGCCTCTGTTTGGAATCAGCCTCCCTTACCGAGAGTCCCTTCTTGCCCTGACCGGCAGGTTGTCGGTGCCCCTCAAGGCCTCCTTTCGTCCCTCAAATGCATCCAACGCTCCCCGGGTTAGATGAGCTCGGCGCTCCACGGCCTTCCTGTAGGGGCGGGCGTGCACGCACATACTCACGCACGCACGTACGCACGGTCAGCACTTCCGGCCGTGGCGCCCTCGGCGCCGGCCCGACGGGACCAGACCGCCGGCCTCCCGGAGCGGCATGCGGCTCTGAGGCGCGCGGACCAGAACGGCGGCGCCATGAACCTCCTCCCGTGTAACCCGCACGGCAACGGGCTGCTCTACGCCGGCTTCAATCAGGACCACGGTAAGGCGCGCGGCCCGGCCCTGACGCCTTGTCCCGCCAACCTCCCCACCCCGGAGTCCCCGACTCGTTCGGGCCTTCCCTCCCGCAGACCCCAGCCCAGCCAGGCCTCACCCCACGAAGCCCCCGACCCGGCCGCATCGACCCTCCCACCCCCGTTCCCTGTCCGAGCCAGGGGTCCAGATGAGGCCCTCGCTGGCCCCTGCTCTCTCGGCCTTTCGCGCCCCCCAGGGCTGCGGCCACCCCTCTTCTGGCTGTCCCGGTCCTGGCCGGACACCGAGCAGAAACCAGCCTCCCCTTGGGCCTGTCGCCCCACCTCCTCGCCACACCCACTCGGGGTCCCCGCCGGCTCCCAGCCGGATTGAGGGATAACCATGTTGTGTTTTTTTTTTCCCCTGTGATAATTTACAGTGTACCTGAAAACTCGTGGGGTTTTTTGGTTTTTTTGTTTTTTGTTTTTGAGGGAGGGGTACTCCTTTTAGGGCCGCTAGCGAGTACGCTGTGGTGGTTGAGTTGAAAATCGTTCAAGTTCTTTCCAGCTAAGTAACTACACTTTATTGACGGTTTTTGTAGGCCAGGTGACCTCGGCTGGGTGTCGTTCAAATCAAAAGGCTTAAATTAGAAAATGTAAAATGTAACCTTCACCACCCCCACTTTCTGTGTGTGTGTGTGTGTGTTTTCTTTTAATTGATAGAATAAAAGGATTTTTAAGGTGTGCCCCTGAGGGAAGTCTCATCTCCCGTTTTAGAATCCAGCTGTAATCTTTGGACGGTTAAACCACTCAGGGAAAGTGATCTCTTTACCTGCTTTAAGAGCTGCTCCCAGGAGCGCCCCAGGGTGCAGGAAGATGCAAGTGATCAGATTCCCCCCAGAGGTGGGGCTGGGGGGATCTCTATAGCCTTGTGGGGCTGGGAACTGGGATTCTGAAAGTTAATCTTGCCACCTCAGATTTGAGATGCTCGTTACTAAATTTCATGATTGGGAAGAAAAAGGGATAACGGCTGTTTATTAGGAACAGATCTCTAAGAGTTTTTATGTTATTGGCTTTGAGAGTTTTGTTTTTGCAGACAATCAAAGCAAGTGCTGTGCCGTATTTATGAAGATAAATTTAAGTAGATAATGCAGTGATTATCTGTCTTTCATTTGGCATATGTGTTCTGTGTTGGGTGGTTCTTGGGGTTTGAAGGACACATTGGGTTTAAGCAAAACCTGTTCTCTGTATTCCTAGTGCTGTAGGAAGAGAGCTAAATTATATCTAAGCAAAACCAAGTTAAGAGGCAGAAAATATGCATGCTATGAAAGAGGTGTGGGGAATTTTCCATTAAGTTGGTGGAGGGCAAATTTACTTCCGATGTTTGAAATCACAGAATGGTTCCTGGTGAAGAGAGCAGTTGGACTCAAGCAGCAGTGGCTGTGGGGAAGGTTGAGGCCTCCACAGTGACTTAGTTTGGCCCAAATGTAGGGATGAGAAAGAGAGCATTTACAGTTAGTGAGGCATGCGGTTGAGCCTACGTGTTGGACATTGGGCAGTATCCATCTGAACGTTTTGGATTTTTATTGGCAGAAGAGGGCCAGTAGTTTTTTTGAATAGGTTTTAATAATAATTGAGAACCCTTTAGGAATAGCAACTCCTCGGGAGATACACTTTCAGGCTAGGTGTGGTACTCATGCCTGTAATCCCAGCACTTTGGGAGACCGAGCATGAGGATTGCTTGAGCCCAGGAATTACCCAGCCTAGGCAACATAGCAAGACCTCATCTCTACAAAAAATAAAAAAATTAGCTGGGTGTGGTGAAGTACGCCTGTAGTCCCAGCTAATTGGAAGCCTGAGGCTGAAGGATCACCTGAGGCCAGGAGGTCGAGGCTGCAGCAAGTCGTGAGTGTGCATTTGCACCCCAGCGTGGGTGACAGAGTGAGACCCTGGCTCAAAAAAAAAAAAAAAAAAAAAAAAGAAAGAATATAAGAATATACTTTGGTCTTGAACTTCTGGTTACAATTAGGTTAATAGCCTATAATGTAAATTTGTACCAGACGGTTGGTTTTATTACATTTTGTTTTTACTTATACTGGTTTTAAATTTTTACTCTTACTGTTTGGTTTTGTTTTTTTTTTCAGTTGGAGTCTCACTCTGTCGCCCAGACTGGAGTGTAGTGGCCGCTCCCGGCAACTGCAGCCTCACCTGCTGGGCTCCGGCGATCCTTCCGCCTCAGCCTTCCAAGTAGCTGGAACTACTGGTGCGCGCTACCACGCCCGGCTAGTTTTTTATTTATTGTAGAGATGAGGTCTCGCCAAATTGCCCAAGTGGGTCTCGAACCTGCAGGCTCAGGCAATTCACCCACCTCGGCCTCCCAAAGCGTGGGATTACAGGCTGAGCCACCGAGCCCAGCCACTCTTACTGCAAATCCAGGCTTACCCATTTTTAGAAGGATAGTTGCCCATTATCTTAAATTGTTCAAACTTTTGACTTGTCTTCTCTCAAAGAAAATGTGTACTCCAGATTTTAAGACTCGAAGTGTAAAGGTGAACATTTCTAAGACGTGCTCACCCATTTCCTTTTAATTCCCCTGGGACGCCGAAGTGTTTTGCATATACACACCTATGTATACCTGGCTTGAGCTGCTGAGTTCCTTGGCCCACTTCTATAGTTGTCACTTTGGGGGTGGGAAATATTTGTGGATTACATTTATTTGGAAGAACGCCCTCTTGGTGATTCTGAGGCAGTCAGGCTTCCTCAGCGCTACCAGCTTTCCCAGGGTTGTACAGTTGCTAGCCTGTGTGCCAAGGGTTTCTCTGGGAAGAAGTTTTAAGATTTGTTATCTTAAAGATTTGTTAAGTTTTTTTTTCCCCCTTCCCACCCCACTTTCCAAAACCCTGTTAAGTTATAAGATTTGTTATCTTTGTGACAGCCTCCTTCGAGAGTGGTTTCCAACTTTTTGGTATTTATAACACCTTCTAACTTTATTCAAGTGTGTTATACACATAGAAAAGTGCACATACCATAAGTATTTAGCTTGATGGAGTTTTTTTTAAGCTGAACACACCTGTCGCTAACAAAACTGAAAATACCTAACAACCCTGTGCTGCTTCCAGCAACTGCCCCCAACCTTTTAACAGCATAGATTCATTTTGCCAACTTGTGTATTTTTCATACTTAGTTTTGTTTCTGGTTTTCTTATTCAACATCGTGTTTCATTTTGTTCCCATATTGTTGATTATAGTTGTAGATCACTCTCTCTGATGTATAGTGTTTCTTTATGCTGATAATGTATCACATTTCATATAGCCATTCTACCATTGATGAGCATTTGGGTAGTTTCCAGTTTTTGGCACTCATGAGTATAATAGTGCTACTATGATTATTCTAGAACGTGTCTTTTGGTTACTGTTTGTTCATATTTCTACAAGGCACATACTCCTACATACTTAGGAGTTGAATTGATAGCTGTCATAGATAGTGCAGTTAATTTTCCAAAGTGGTTTCACGAATTTGCCCTCCACTAGCAGGTGTGCGTTCCCATGGCTCTATACCCAGCTCACACTTGGTGTGTTCCATCATTTTGGGGTGATCTCATTGTGGGGATCTCATTGTGGGGTTTTGTTTTTTTTTGTATTTTTCTGATTCTGTATGTTCATTGACCACCTAGATATCCTCTTTTGTGAATTATCCATCTTTTATTCATCTTTCTGTTGAGTTGTCTACCTTTTTCTTGTGGATTTATAGGAGCGGTTTGTATTTTTTTAACAAGTCTTTGGTCAGAAATATATGTGTTCTGATGAAGACAAGATAGTTACAGGTTAAAACTTGACTCAAAAAAAAATTTTTTTTTAAAAACCAGCCTGGGTAACTTGGTGAGATCTCATCTCTACAATAAATCAAAAAATTAGCCGGGCGTGGTGACACATGCCTGTGGTTCCAGCTATTTGGAAGACTGAGTCAGAAGGATCACCTGAGCCCAGCAGGTCAACGCTAGGGTGGCGGTGAGTGCTGCTGTACTCCAGCCCGGGTGACAAAGTGAGACTCTAACTAAAAAAAACAACTTGGGAAAGTTGCGACAGAAAGGAAGAAATTTCAACTCTAGTATCATTTTTGTATTCAGCAAGGAAAGCTCAGATTCTTCTGTTTGGATTATATGATTCCAATAACATGAAGACATAACCCAGAATAATTTAAGAAATAGTAACATAGTACTTTCAAGTGAGTTTCAGATTCCAGGCCCAGATAAATAAATTACATTTCAGAACATACAAGTTGATTGCAAAATGTGATCTCCACTTCACTAGGGTAGCTGTCATGGGTACTTGGATCTATCATGATCTATGGTTTTATAAGTGACTTGGACAAAAGATATAGATGTGCTTTTCACTTTTGGAAGGGTGGCTATTAGGACAGACAATTGTGGCTCCAAAACAGAAAAGGTGGATTAAATTTAGTAGAATGGAATTTTAAGAGGGGGTCTTTGCATTGATTTTCAAAGCAGTTGTGTGGTAACCGTGAGGGGCCAGACTTTGCAACATTTCATGTGAAAAGAATTGGAGAGTTTGATTTTTCTCTTTCCAGCCACAGTTTCATATGAATCAACAATTGGACATGGCATTTAAGGAGATGAGTGTAGTCCTTGGATCGCTACAGGAACCAATCCTTCTTCACACTTGAGTGCTTTATTTGGTTCCTAACAGTGCCTTTTATTTGGATCATTAACTGTGATGTGGTGACCAGGATGCATGACTCAGGTCATTGTGACCATGACAGAGTTTTAAGGAGTTAGGACGATTTACAGTTGGGAGCGAAGTTATGGGAGACCTCAGAGCTTCCTTTTAGGAGACCATCCTGTAGATGGGAAGGAGCATCCCTCTCCTTCCCTTCCCTGGATCTAGGACTACCTTCCCGTCTCCCCTAACACCCTGCCCTTCCCCTCACCTGCTTTGTCCACAGCAGGCAAGAGTGCCTGCTTTACAACTGTCCACCACTAAGATGTGGACTTTATTATTCTTCATTTGTTGCCTCTCCAGGACCTGACATGATTCCTGACACACTGCACTCAAGAAGTGTGTTTGGAACTGAAGGCCAGTGGTGAGCATTAGCAAAAGGCAGGTGTTAACAGGAAATGCACAGTGGCAGTGGCTTGTCGAGATAGCTTCTCTCACTGGAATTAAATGTTCAGGCGGAAACCTGGTCCACAGGTCCGAATGCCACAGAAGGACCCTACAGAGGGGAAGTTAACATGAGCAGCTCTAAAGGCTCTTTTGCATGCAAAACAACCAACAAAATCTTCTAAGATATGCATGTCACTTAATGACATTTCTACAGAAAAGGAGTTGTGACTTAGCACACAGCATGTCTGTGAGATTTGAGCATCTGCAAAAGTTTTTAGTAGAAACTAAATCCCATTTTTTCCAAATCCCTTGCTTTTGTCCACTCCAGGCCTGGGGATTAATGTGTCTTTTTTTGATACTCTCTGCTTTAGGGTGCTTTGCATGTGGGATGGAAAATGGATTCCGAGTCTATAACACCGATCCACTAAAAGAAAAAGAGAAACAAGGTAAGGAGCAAGTGACATTTCCTGGTATCTCCCCTTTCCAACCCTCTAAGAGTCTAAATTTTATCTTGCAGGTGGATTGGGGAGGAGAGAGGACAGCCATTTTTGATGAATAAATAAAGTTCAGGGTCCTCCATTAACTTAAGTGGAGCTGCCTTTTTTGCATTGAGCTTCTGTGAATGCTGGGCCCATAGAGTGCTGGGGGATACAGAGGTGTGTCAGCATCTTGGACGCTGGCATTTCTTATTTCTCTAGTGAATTGTCAGCCAGTGTAAACTTCTTTTGTCTTTCACCTATGTATTCGGTCCTTGCTAGCTGTGTGTGGAAGAACAGGGTATCTTTAATGCAGGCCATTTCACTTTTTCCTTGCTGAATGTAAAACTGTAGAGAACTCAGATGATAGGTTTAATTACAGCATATGGGACCCTTAACTTCTGGCAAATGACCAGCATTTAGAAGATATTACTTGTAGTGACTATAGTTTTCTCCTCTTAATCTATGTTTTTGTGAAATACCAGTTTTCAAAAGCTGAAATCAGGAATTCTGTTGGTAAACAAAATAATGGTGACCCTTTTCCTATTAGCCAGGAAAAAAGTTTTTGTTTTGTTTTTTTTCTTTTTGAGTCAAGGTCTCACTCTGTTGCCCAGGCTTGAGTGAAGTGACACAATCGTGGCTTACCCACAACGTTGACCTCCTGGGCTCAGGTGGTATTTCTGCCTTAGCCTCTCGAGTAACTAGGACTACAGGCATGCACTACCATGCCTAGCTAATTTTATTTTATTTCACTTTATTTGTTTTGTTTTTGTTTTTTTGAGTTGGAGTCTCACTCTGTTACAGCCCAGGCTGGAGTGCAGTGACAAACTCACCACCATCCCAACATCAACCTGCTGGGCTCCAGCAATCCTTCTGCCTCAGCCTTCCAAGTAGCCAGAACTACAGACACGTGCTACCATGCCCGGCTAATTTTTGATTTATTGTAGAGGCGAGGTCTCACCAAGTTTCCTGGGCTGGTCTGGGACCCATGAGCTCAGATTATTTTACTATAGTTGTTGTTTTTTGCTTTTTGAGTCGGGGTCTTACTCTGTTGTCCAGGCTGGAGGGAGTGGCACCATCATGGCTCACTATAGCCTTGACTTCCTGGGCTTAGACAGGCCTCCTGCCTCAGCCTGCTGAGTAGCAGGGACTGCAGGTGTGCCACCATGCCTAGTTAATTTCTTTATTTTTTATTTTTAGAGATGAGGTCTTGCTATGTCACCCAGGCTGGTCTTGAACTCCTGGGCTTAAACAGTCCTTCCGCCTCAGCCTCCCAAAGTACTAGGATTACAGGTATAAGCTACCACACCTGACTTAATTTTATTTTTTGTAGAGACAGGGTCTTACTACATTGTGTAGGCAGGTCTCGAACTCCTGGCTGCATGCAATCCTCCCACCTCGGCCTCCCAAAGTGCTGCAATTACAGGTGTGAGCCTTCGTGCCCAGCCATACTTAAACTTTTGGCAACTCTTGGTCCATACACTCTAGGAGAATCAGGTCTGCCAATGAAGGAGCAAATCTCAGATAAATCATAGAAAATGAGAAACATCTTTTTTCTTTCTACATTTGTGGTTCTGGCTTTTATGCACATGTTAAATTTCTGATGCTAGAACTGTTGTTATCTGTAAGAGGAAGTTACTACTGGAGCTTCATGGCAGCCTGGTGTGCCATTCAACAAGCCCTTTCTACTGTAGGAACTGATATTCTATGTCCGGGATTTTTCAGAGGTTTTTTTGGCAGTGGAAACCCTTTGTCAAGTGAAATCTTATGTACAACCCTGGAATGTAAAACAGTAAGTGGAACTTTATGTCCAGGAGTTTATTTGTAAGCTAGAGTTCATAACCTTGATTGATTGATTGATTGATTGATTGAGCTCTTTTGCCCAGGCTGGGGTGCAATAGCACAATAATGGCTCACTTCAGCCTTGACCTCTTGGGCTCAGGTGATACTTACCCTTCAGCCTCCTGAGTAGTTGGGGAACTACAGGCATGTGCTACCACACCTGGCTAATTTTTAAATTTTTTTTTGTAGAGACGAGGTCTCACTATATTGCCTAGGCTAAAGCAATTCCCCTGCCTTGGCTTCCCAAAGTACTGGGATTACAAGCATGAGCCACTGTGCCCATATTCTTGATTTATTATAGAAAGACAGTACAGCCTAGGAACTAAGAGCTCAGACAGGATCCACATTGTATAGATTTGAATTCTGGCTCTGGCCTTTGCCAGCTTGGGCAAGTTTCTCAACTTCTCTGGGCCTCACTTTCTTGATATGTAAAATGAGATTGATAACAGTGCCTACCTCATAAGGTTATAAAAATGAATTTGAATGCATAAAATGCATAAATTAGTACCTGACACATGTGTTAAGTGCTGTGTGATTGTATGCCATCATCATCAGCAGTAGCAGGAACATCACCACTTTAGAGTAAGTCAGTGGAATCAGAGTGTTACAGGTGTCGGTGGTGGTCTCATATCAGTCTTTCATGCATCTAATTTGTAGTTACTTTGTTTTGGCTGGGTAATAAATTGATATTTCTGTTTTATGTAGATAAGTAGTTATGAAACATTTTTAAATAGCTCGACTTGCAAATCTCAGGTTACTTTTTACTAAATTGACGCAGAAGCTTAAAGAGGAGTTGTAGACATTGGAGTCAAAGTTGAATCATTAGCGGCATATTAACAGCTGATTCTTAATTCATGAAATGTGAACAAACCCCTTCAGATCCCCTCCCACTGTGGGAGCTTTTCTGTCCTCTCAATAAATCCTGCTTTTAAAAAAAATTAAATGAAATGTTTACAATACATCATAATTTATCAACATAAGTTAGACAAGAAGCATCTAAACTTCGAGTTCCAGAGGAGTATACTATGTGCATAATACACATAACTACACACACTTGTTCATGTGCTGCTGCTCAGTTCTGCTTTCTGGGGCGAGGTATCTTGAGGTGAGTTTGGGTGAGCTTATACATGTGCACTTGTGGTGCACTCACATAGCCAGTGTATATGAGCAGATAGGCCTTATTGTGAAAATGGTTATAGTAGGGCCATGATGTCCTTTTTGATGGTACATTTTGAGAAATTTACCCAGATGTATTTGCAGATTAATCTGTTCTTATGTTTATGGCAATTTACAGCTTAATACTTGAAAAACGCAGACGACGTGCCCTTGTTCCTTTTTTTATTTTAGTGGTTTGCTTTCCTAAATGGTGAGGAAGGAAATGTGCCTGCATTGCAGCAATCTGTCCTAGATCTGGGCTCTTGGCCTTGTTGTCCCCAGTATGACTCTGGTGTAGTGTAAGAAGACGTGACTGGGCCATGAGCAGAGTGCCTCTTCCAGGTGTGCCCACTGCCATTTGGCAGAAGTGGAAATCTGGTAGTGCAGGAAAGCTGTCTTGGGGACCCCTCATCCTCCAGTTGAGGCAGGGGAGTGAGTGGTGTGGCAGTTCTCCCACCTTGCTCCAAGATAGAGTTCTGTGTCCACCATACACCCAGGTTCCTACTCTCCAGAGACAGCTCGGCTATCAGAGCAGTGCTACTCTACTTGCAGGAAGGGCTACCTGGAGTTGATAATGTGGCCTGTCATGGAGATGCTGTGGCATCACAGATAGGACTCAGACATCAGAGAATATACTACCAAAAAAGTTGAACAGTCTAATTTGTACAAATAGAAGTGTTTCAAGAGTGATAATTTGGATGAAGTATTCTTGCCAGTGGTTGCAGAAACATTAGAGTATATGTAAGAAGTCCACTTGTCACTGACAAACACAACCCTCCCATATGACAGTGTTGACTAGAACTTGTATAGGCTAGACCTGGCTCAACAAACTTGCACAGTCTTCAGGGTAGGCAGAGGTCTTCAGAAGCATTCTGCTGTCTCAAGGCTGCCTGCATTTGCCTCCATGTGACCAGCACTCATGCAACGAGATGTTGGCAGCTACATATGGGGAAGTAGAGGGAATGCACATCCTAGAGGGAATGCCACATGGCTGAGGTTGAGTAGCAGTTGAAGGTTGCTCATCCTGTGTCTATTGCCTAGTTGTTGGGCACCCACTGGGTGTCCAGGGCTGCACTAGGGGCTGGAAATAAGTGAGGAGGAAGACTGGCATGGCCTTGATGAGATGCACTGAACATTTGCTAGTTTTTGACGTTACCAGTCCAGCAACCTGCTTGACCTGACCCACAGCCCATAATCTTTATTATGTCTAACTCTGCAGTGAGTCCTGTGGACATCATGGTCTGGGTGATGGCCCATCATATTGGGTGAAGGTACTAGAGAAAAGGTAGGGGATAGTGGTGATCACCACAGGTGAGAAGAATGCAAAGATAGCATGTAGCTTTGCTAAGGATGTGGAGAAGCAGAAAATTTCATAACTTGATGATCTAAGTTTGAATTGATAGAGACCTTTTTATAGAATAATTTGGCAAAATGTGTTCATTTTAGATAAATATGCCATTTGATTCAACAGTAAGACCTAAAAGATTTTATCTGAAGGAAAAAAAGACACCAGATGATTATATAAAGATATTATTTGCAGCTCTATTTATAGGAATGAAAAATTGAGGGGAAAGCTAAGTGACCATCATTAGAACATTGAACTTGGTTGTAGTGCATTCTTAAAGTGGTGTGCTCATGCAGTAAGAAAATGAGACCAGTCTGAATCCTGGCTTATAGTAATGATATGTAATTTTTAATAATGAGAAATAATTAGGATATTTCCATTTTTAAAAAACTTTGACCAGGCATGGTGGCTCATGCCTATAATCCCAGCACTTTGGGAGGCCCAGGTAAGAAGATTGCCTGAGCCCACGGGTTGGAGACCAGCCTAGGCAACTTGGCAAGACTTTATTTATTTATTTTATTTATCTCTACAATAAATAAAAAACTTAGCTGGGCATGGTGGCGCATGCCTGTAGTTCCAGCTACTTGGAAGACTGAAGCAGAAGGTTCGCCTGAGCCCAGCAGGTCGA